GTTAAGGGGCAACAGGCACAAACTGAGACTCCAGAAGCTCCATCTGAACATGAGGAAGAGCTTCTCTACTTTGAGGGTGGCAGAGCCCTGGCACAGGCTGCCCAGAGAGGTTGTGGAGTCTCCTTCTCTGGAGATACTCAAAACCCGCCTGGACACGATGCTGTGCAACTTGGTGTAGGTGACCCTGCTTTGGCAGGGGGGTTGAACTGCATGATCTCTAGAGGTCCCTTCCAACCCCAACCCAGTCTGTGATTCTGAGCCATACTGGTGTTTTTTGGTTTGAATTCCCACTTCTAGGGAAAAAAAAAACCACACTACAGCTTGTGCTTGACTGCCTACCTTAGTGTTCACTCACATGCAGAGGTGCAGTTTAATAGCCACAATCTCAAGAAAAGACAAGACGCCTTTCTCATCATTGCACCTGATGGGCTGGAGAACGTCCCCCTACACTTACACCTTCCTACCTCTCCACAACACAGAGCTGTCTCCCCTGGTGCCTGGCCTCAGTCTCAGAACTGGTAGAAAGCAGAGAACCTTCTCATAGCAGAAGTTTCTCTTCCAAAAGCAAAGACTAGAGATGACGACTCTTCTAAGTGAAAGTCAGAGAGGTCAGCAACCATTTTGACCGAAGGGTGTTCTGAAGTTTTAAAAATCCTTACCATTGCCCCAGTCTGCACTATGGCAAACTGGAAGAGATACTGCTCTGCTTTGGGGTCATCAGGCATCTGCACTTCTCTCTGCTCACTGGTTAGTTTCTGACCTACAGTAGCTTACTCTTACCTGTGGATGGATATGGCAGGACTAGAAAAGCCTTGGTTTTGTGCAGAGTTCCTTTGCAATCACGATGACGTGACTCAATCTCACACAGAAGCAGCCTCACGGATTAAGGTGAATGTTACTTGGTCAGTGACTGTTGTGCCCCAGGGTGAGCAGTCAAACAGAGGGTCTCTCTTCATATGGGGATTCCCCCAGCGCACAAGGAGAAGGCAGCTCGAGGCCAAGCAATTGCCACAGAAGAGATTACCTGGCACCCACTCACTTGGGAAACGCTGCTTAAAGCTTGCAGCCATTAAGACACTTGCAAGGAAAAGCATGGAAAGTCTGGCAGGAAAATTTTTCTCTTACCATTAGATACAGAAACATTGGAAAAAGCTAAATTTGCTATTTTAGTAGCATCTCACAGTAAAAAAGCTCCCCCAAATATGGTCTAGTTATGCATTTGAGAAAAAGGCATTGGAGGCTCTAACACAGCAGCATTACGATGCCTGAGGCACCTACCCATCCCTTGAGCTGGTTCTCAAAGACACCTCAGAAAGGAAGACAATATTGTCCCTCACATCTTAGTGGCAGAGAAGCGTGATCAATAGTGCCAGCCTTGCCTTGCCGCCTGTTGAAAGAAATGCCTCTGACACTGCAGTATTGAAGCGGGCCACCACATGCATGGGAGCATGGTGGGAGCTCCAGAACATAATGGGATGTCCCAGGGAACTCTGAGCTTTAGTAAAGAGGCTTCGGTGCTATTTGCTAACAGCACTTCTGAGTGCAAAGCTATGGCTTAAATCACAGCGCTCTGTCTTTCCAGGTCAAGAACGGACGACAGTTGAATTTACTCCACGGGTCATAGCACCAGCCCAAATGGAGCCCTGTGAAGAACAGAATGGCATGCTTTACACTGGGACCCTCTCGGTCACTGCATCTGGAGCTAAGTGCCTGCCGTGGAACTCTGAGAAAGCCAAAGAGGTGCTCCATGGAAAACACCTTGACCCAGAGGTGAAGCTGCTGGAGAATTACTGTCGGAATCCAGACGGAGATGACGAGGGTGTCTGGTGTGTCACAGATGAACCACCCAACTTTGAATACTGCGATCTGCACTACTGCGGTGAGAAGCCTGTGTGGGTTTGGGTAGGCACACTTGTGAGGCAGTGGCAAACAAAAGCAGTACGTGTGACTAGGGTGAAGTGCTTGGCCTGGGAGGCGTAGGCAAGGAGGGCTGCACACCATGCATGTGGAAGTCATGTTTGTCCAAGTATCACATGTACTAACCTGCTGTACATGTATAGAGCTGTTACATCTCTCAGGTGTTTTATTCTCCCTAAAAATTCACAACGGTGGACAAGGAGCATTAAAAAGAGCAGTGGTTTTAAGATATCGTTCCTTCATCAGACCCACCATATGTGGAAAGGAACATTTACATTGCTCGTAATTATGGAAACTGCAGCTAGGCCTTTTACCATGTTTGTCTTTCTCTCTCAGACAGCTTGCTAGAGGATGGGAACGAACGTTTGGCGGGAATATCAGGACGTACTACCCTTCCTCAAGAATTCAGAACCTTCTTTGATGACAAAACTTTTGGTTCAGGCGAAGCAGGTGAGCAAAAACTCTAGATAGAGCATCACAGCTTGTAGAAAGGCTGCAGCTTCTTCCCACAGGGCACTCACTGTTCCTCAAACGCCGTCTTGCCAAATGCTGTCAAAAGCACAGGGAGATACTTAAATTCCTTGAAAGACCCTCAGAAGTCAATCTCCCGTTACAATCATGGAGCTAGTAAGCACTTCTTTCCTAGGCTCTTCCAGCTTAGCATGCTGACTGCAGACATTTCTCCACTGTGAATCAGGTAGAGTACAAAGCCAGATTACCTGTTTTTTCAGACTGTGGCACTCGTCCTCTATTTGAGAAGAGAAAGACAATGGACAAAAGTGAGAAGGAGCTGCTGGAGTCCTACATAGGAGGCAGAGTTGTCCATGGGGATGACGCAGAAGTTGGCAGCTCCCCCTGGTAAGCGTTATCTTTGCACAGGGAATTGTGTCTCCCTTCTCTTCGGTTCAAGCAGTAGGAAATAAAAGGGCTTTCCCATTTGAGGCAGCATGCAGGTGCTATGGCTTCTCATCAAGTCTTCTCCAAGTGGTTGACAGGGCAGTACTAAAACAGCTGGAAAGAAACTCTCCTCTTGAGCCAAGTACGCAACCATCTGGGAAAGCAAGAGTGCTGGTGTATTTCATCTTTGTCTCTTCCTCTTTCCAGCTTTGCTGGAGCAGAGAGGATGAGAAACCTCTCCAGGTGAAAGAAACAGGATAAATGGCCTACTACACAGAATATAAGTATCCAGGGAAGACTTTTGCTAGAGAGCCACTTACACAGTCGCCTTTGTTAGTATAGTGCAACGCTCTACAGAGCTCACTACAAACTGTGCTCTTTCTTCATGACACCAAGACACATTCAGCCAGCCATGCCTCTAGTCCTGCTAAGTCTTCCTCCCTCCTTCTCTCTCAGGCAGGTGATGCTCTACAAAAAGAGTCCTCAAGAGCTGCTGTGTGGTGCCAGCCTCATCAGTGACAGCTGGATCTTGACTGCTGCTCATTGTCTTTATTATCCACCCTGGGACAAGAACTTAACTACAAATGACATCTTGGTGCGGATTGGCAAGCACATAAGGGCAAAGTAAGAGCCTGGATGAAGTGAGAGTGAACTAGCCTTCCTCTCGGAGCGATGAGATACAACGAGGTTGGGCTATCATTCAGTGTCCAAGGAAACATAACATAGCCAATGTCACATGCCTCTCAATAATGGGATCTAATGGAGCTGCCATTTGCTGCTCTTACTGATCCTAAAGGTTAAAGGGAGAGCAGAAGCATGGAAAGTCTAAAGGGGTGCTCCACTGTAAAGACAGTATTGTCTCAGAGGGTACAAAGCACCTGAGAGTATCATGAACCCCAGAAGACTCTCAGTTGCTACTGTACAGCCTGTTCTTTCCTTCACGACCGTTTCAGGTATGAAAAGAACAAGGAGAAGATTGCTCTGTTGGATAAAATCATCATCCACCCCAAGTACAACTGGAAAGAGAACATGGACCGAGACATTGCACTCATGCACTTGAAGAGACCCATCACCTTCAGTGACTATATCCATCCTGTCTGCCTGCCTACCAAAGAGGTCGTGCAGAGGTAAGAAGACCGTCCCACAGTCCTAAAAATACAGGCTAACAAAAGCCTCCTTTGGGCTTTCAAAGAAGACAGAAAAAGATGCCCTTATTTAGGCTATTGGCAGCAAGAGAGCCAGATGGGAGAAAGCTGTTACAATACATTTGATTATACTCATGCTTCCTTCTGCAGGCTGATGCTGGCAGGTTACAAGGGGCGGGTAACTGGTTGGGGAAACTTGAAAGAAACATGGGCCACTAGCCCAAGCAACCTCCCCACAGTTCTGCAACAGCTCAACGTGCCCATTGTAGATCAAGCTACCTGCAAGGCATCCACCAAAGTTAAAGTCACTGACAACATGTTCTGCGCAGGTAAGTTGCACTGGAGACACAAGGCCAACTTGCCAGGGAAGACAAGGGCTCCAAGCTCCCGGTGGGGCTCAGGCAGCGAGGTTACTTTCTGATAAATTTGCAAGTGCCCTCTATAAGGAATAACTTTACTATGATAAGAACTTCTTCAGCTCTCAGAAAACATGAAGGCTGGAGAACTTAAAGCTATGAATGAAGTTTGTAACAACACGCTGTGTCAGGCTAACTAGCCTAATAACACCACTCTGCTAGATATCAGCAACAGCTGTGTGAGAATAGAGCATATATAAAATTATCTCTTTACCAGTATATGGAACAGTTCTGTGACTTCCTAAATTAAAGGCTGCACACCAGTTATCCCACACAGTAGCCAAACAACGCGCTCTACTAGCTTGTCTCAACCCTTTGGAGCCTATTCATACTTACCCCCACAACTTCTGTGGCAACAGGCTCCATATATTGGTTAGGCATGTGTGAAAAATATAGTTCCTCATGTTCTGTTAATTTTCCTGTCTAATAAATTTGAAGACGTACACATGTATACTCATAACTTAAGAAAAAATATTTCTTCTCCATGTCATATGCTATTTTATGGACTTCTTACAGCTCTGTCATTTCTCTTGCAAGCTGAGAAGCATTTACTTAATCTTTCCTAATATGGAACGCATTCGGTACTTTTAATAATCCTTGTTGTACCTTCCTAAATCTCTTCTGGCACTGTACCCTTTTTGAGAGACAGAATAGAAGTGAACACAGAATTCAAGATACAAAGAGACTATGGATTTATGTACCAGTTTAATACTTTCTGCTGTATTCTTCATTTGTGCAGAGTTTATCAGTTCCTACAAGCAAATCTCCAATGATTTTTGACTGAGTTTGTGCTGCTTGCATCTAAATAACGCATACGATTGTTCGAGTTAGGATGGAAGCCAATTTCATGAGTATACTGACAATATAGTGTTCTTATGGTTTCTTTTTCTAGATAACATTATTGAAAAATAGCGAAGATGCAGACATACAGCGGAAAAGGGGAGACATAGGTGATGGGAAAATGCAAAGATACTGTCTAGTTCATCAGCAATTAAATTGATACCCCTTTCCTTTTCATAGTGAGACTGTAGGAAGACAGTCACTTGGGGAAGAGAAAGCAGAGCCTGCAGAATGACAGGAAGGGGAAAGTGAGGATGACAATGTGTCTCTATAGTAAACAGAATGAAAGAACAGGGGACATGGAACATTACACACACACGAGTCTCTAAGACAAGAGAAAGGCACAGTAGCTCAAGCTACAGCTGTTGAACACAGTGGCAAGCTCTACACTAACGGCAATTCTGATGAAAGAAAAGAGGAATGAAAGCACAGAGGGTGGAAGAACATGGTAGATTCAGGAATGTTGCAAAGACAGAAGCAGAGCTAGGTGTCTGACAATATAAACCAAAAATCCAAAGCAGTTTTCTAAATTTAAGTCCAATAGTTGGCAAAAGCAGTAAGCAATCTCATGGGTCTCAAAGTTTATGCAGCAATAGTTCAAGGAAAAGACAGCCAACACCAGCCACTGCCCCTACAGTCAAATGTCCAACTTTCTTCTTGCCTGTAGGTTACAGTCCTGAAGACTCAAAGAGAGGAGATGCCTGTGAAGGGGACAGCGGGGGACCTTTTGTAATGAAGGTATGTTCAACAAGTTCAAGTTCATAGAACATATGGAGCTAGGTTTGTGCTATGCTGAACTTTCATTAACAGCCTAAAAAATGGCAGCAGAGATGGAGACTGCTGAGCAACTGAGGCAAAACTGTCTCATGCCCAAGCTGAGCAACCAAGATGAATCCTGCAGTCATCCAGCCCCGTTCCTGCGCCGAGTTCTCAGCACATAGGGAGATCAGCTGTAGAATGCATAAGCGATGGCCAGTTCTCACTTAGAGGTTTAAGCGTAGAGACAAAATTACTCCAACAATATATGTTATCTAGTAGATGCCAGTCTGAATTCCAAAGCAGCATCCATCATGAAACAGGCCAAGGTGCATATAAGGCTTAGATTTGAAAGTCTCTTGCTCCTTGTGCCAATCCCATTTTTCTTTGCTTTAGAACCCAGAAGACAACCGTTGGTATCAAGTGGGAATAGTATCATGGGGAGAAGGCTGTGACCGAGACGGCAAATACGGATTTTACACCCACGTATTCCGCCTGAAAAAGTGGATGCGAAAAGCCATCGAAAAACACGGGCGATAGAGGAAGCGTTTACCTTGCTCGCTCTCAGTTTTGCTACAATGCTCCACTTCTTAAAAACATAAGCATAGAAGATCCTAAAGTAAAACAGTTACATCCTTACAACTCGACAAAGGAAAGTGTTCTCCCTTGAAAATAAAAGTTCTCAAACCCATCTTCTTCCTTTTGTTCATGCTGAGTTTAGTTACACCTGGAGCTAAGCTGTCACAGTAGCCAGGAGTACCCACAGAATGGCACTAGTTATACTGCTAATTACCTGTTGTGCTTCAAACAAATCCTCCTCCCTTCTATCACCTATAAACCTATAACCAACAGATTTTAGACCTCAGATGATGGTCTTAAGTCAGTCACAGTAAGCATGATTGTGCCCTCAGGCACTGCCCGTTTCCTCCCCTCAAATCAACTCATTTTCTGTTCTAGAAGTTGAGCCAAGAACATACTGCAGAGAATCACCCTACAGTAACTGTGGCATTACACAAAACACCAATACCAATGTCAAAAGTAAAGCAACTATAACCTGTTTTGGTAAGACAGACACTGTTCTCAGCTACAATGGCTGACAACAAATACCAGCACCACTGTTTGCAAGGCTAGCATCTTAAGAAGTTACAGATGCCAGCTGTATGCAGTTCATCCTACAGAGGAATATGGGCTTGAATACATTAAGTGGCACTTCCATTGCTCTATGGCAGTAACTTCCTACATGGCAGGTGGTGCTGGGTCCTCAAACTGCATTTTCCACCTGCATAGCGAGGTTCAGAAGGAAGGAATTAATGCATAGTCTTTGTCAAGGGGCCTCCAATGGACACAGCCTGCACTATACCTGTTTGGTTGTCTTATAAGGCCTGTTTCAAGATCACTCTCAACAGAAGCCTCAGTTCTTTCACGAACTCCTCTTTAGCCGCAATTTGTAGACCACCAAGGACCCAGCAGTAAACATGTATTCTTGACTAGCCAATTTGTTCAGCTCAATTTTCTCTTAAAGTAATCACGAGATTTGGAAACCATCCTTGCTCCCTATGACACCATATTCCCAAACTCCTCATTCACAGTGCCATCATGTCACAGAAACGGGCAACAGTGAAATTTTGTTGTGCTTCATACAGAGTATTAAGCAGTAGAGTGACTGTGTTGAAAAAGTGACAATAGAGGTAACTATCTGAAATTAGTTGGATATAAACAAAATTACTGAACCATCACTGTCTGGCCACCTCCTTGAAGATGGCTCATTTGGGAATCAACTTGAAGACAGCCCAATTTACCCAAAGAAAGCATAAAAACAAACTCTCAAAGACATCTGAAGAAACCTCAAGAGCTCAAGTTCCACAACTGTTTGAAGTCACCGATAACCACAGGCATCAGACACTGAAAATGCTTAGCCTGTCTAATGTTTAAATTTTCAGCCTCACCCTTTCACTGCTATCTAATAATCTGTGAGAAACTGTACATCTAAGAGGGGAACCAGGACCATACAGTTTCTGGAGTACGCCACTTAATACTGACTTGTTACAAACAATACAGAGGAATCATTTTTAAAATTCAGTTTAATGTTATTTAAATATTGTCTGGGCTAAAGATTAGGCTTTATTAATTTATGTGCACAAGTTTTAGTTCAGAACTCCCAGGATACTGAGTCCAACCAAACACTACAGAGACACAGGGCAAAAACTCATTCATAGTAAGCAACTATATCTTCTGCTACTCAATTATTCCTGTATTTCACTTCCCATTCAGCTTCAAATTTAAAATAGTTGTATGCAGGTTCGCAGGCATTGCTGTTTTAACATCCTGAGCTAATTAACAAACAGCTCTTCAGAACGTCTGGTGGACATGGTAAAGAAACATACGGATTAATTTAAATGTCAGCAAGTTTCAAAAAGCAGCTAGTAATTGAGAGGTAGTGGCAATAACTCTACTGCCAGCGAACACAAACTATTCACAAACAGCCCCAGCTTAAGCACACAAAACCTCAGCACTTACCAATAAGGGCCGAACCTCCACTTGTCACACAGCTCTGTTCCACAAGAAAGTGCATGCCCATTTGACGTTAGGAGAGGAGACTGCGACTACTAAATCGAGGTGGTGGAGCAATGAATTGCATCGTGTCAATTACAGGATGGTGAACGCTCACAAGTCACCTGCTATCGCAGTGTACAAAACTCACCATAAGCACCAAGCAGCATTACATCAACTGCAACCCCAGCCTAGGGGTCCTGTAAAAGGAAGATTTCAGCCATTTGCAGAAACTCTGGCATAGATCTGCTGTACAAGTACTAATTTCAAGCCACATTTTTACTGTAATCAGGCAAGATAGTTTCAGTAATGGCCCTAATGCAGAGACTGCTGGTCCACAGAGCAAACAACAAAAGCAACAGTTACATGGAACAGATTAAAATCTAGAGCAGAAATGTGCTATTTTAAGCCTGCCTGCACAACTCTTCAGTAACTCTGTTCGAGCTATGGAACAGGTGTGCAATTTATGCTTCACAACGAGCTCTCACATGGAAGTGCAGTAGTAAGGTGAAAAACATATCACCTCCCTAGAGTTGAAAGGGCTAGAAAGGCTACACAGTGTATGTCTTCATCTTCATACTTGTAGCTTCTGAAAAAGGCTAATCAGAAAACACTCTTACAAAAAAACCAGTGGCTACAGCTCTGGCAGACTAGCACTATCAGGTGTTTCAGTTATACAAAATAGTAGAGTTTGCTGACATCAGATGTTTACGAGCAAAAAAGAATGTGGTGGTGAGATCTACCTGCATGAAGAAAACTGCTTAAGCAAGTAAGTTCAGGATAAACGAGGCCACTGACTGTACATCACTGCTAACCTATTCCATATTAACAGCAGCAGGCTCCCTCAAAGAAAGCATTTGTACACAGATGGAACTATGCTTAATGTGGGCAAAGGCATCACAAGAACTAGGCAATTTAAAATAAGCTTTTCAGCTAACTAAATATTCTCAACTTACTCTCAAATTACAGAAACATATTCCAAAACAAAACAAAGCAACTACATGAAAAATGCACTACTGCTCAGAGAAGTAAGACTGCAAAGTCTCAGGATTGCACCCACAGACAGTATATATGCACTCATCTTCCTTATAATATATCCAAACCCCAAGGTTCATGTCAAGAACAGCTTAGTTCAGTTTCTAGAAGCCCAGTCACTAACATTCAGGAATAGAGAGTGACTTCTCTAACCAGCAGTCACTGCTTTTCCTATAGAGGCTGGTATAGTTAATGCAAACTTTATTTACAAAAGACACTTAAATTAGTTACTTCATGCCATGTGTCCATACAGAATCAACAGTTCAAGGATTACATGGAGAAGAATTCACAAAATTAAAAGTGAAATCACTAAAGATCTTCTAAGAGTTAAGAACTAGGAAAAGATCTTAAAGACAATTTTACAAATAAAAAAACCCAAGTTATGAGAAACTAGTCTGAGCAAGAGGATGGTTGTTTACAGATCTGTACACTAAAACTAATACACAGACAGCCTTCTATTGTCAAAGAGATGCTCACTGAGAAGCAAAGTATGTACAAATACTTGTGCCACAATGACTCAACCCCCCAAAATCCACTGTATTATACATAAACCAGTTTGTATACATTAGGCCTAAATGAGGCCATTTAACTATGAAGACTTCTAGTTTAGTAAACTAAAGCTGAAGACAGCCCAAGCAACAGTGATGCTGTCTCTCTCGCATCTCTATTTGCGACTGCTTTTTATTCTCTCCAATCTTTTTTTCAAGTCATCAATATTAGCCGCTGCAGAAGAGGGTGAAGCCAGGGTATTTCCAATGCCAGAGGAATGAGTCTGATTGGAGTCCAGGTCCAGATGTTGGTACTGCTCCCGTGACTCACGGAGCTGGGAGAGCTTACTGTGAAGCATATCTGTAGAGGATGCAACTGTAGGGAGGGCTGGTTTAGAGAGCAGAGACGTCAGAGGTGGTCTGTCTTCCTGCTACGCGAGAGGAAAGTGAAGCGTTAAGAGAGATCGTGGCAAAAGCCATGTAAGAAGTACAAACCATAATCAATGGCTTTTCACCTTCACAGGAACACTAAAAACAGGAAAGGGAAGGAGCAATACAACACAGGTGATGTGGAGTGATAAAGTCAGTTGCCAAAGTCAGAACCATGCAAAGCTAACTACAAGACTCAATTCCTATCATTTAAGTAGTTCATATTTAACTTGATGTCAGTAGGGACACAAAGGAACTACAGTCTTTAAAGATCAAAAATTCACAGCAGACCGGTGTTTTACTGAGGTGGTCTGTTGCAGTCTTGAACAGCCTGAATTCTAACAGCGCAAGAGGAAAGGCCATGCCTATGTGCAGCATCAACCACCAATGAGTTTTCTGGAGGAATGAGAAGAGGCAACTTGGATTGACTGGCAGGATCCACCCTGGCAAAGCCTTAGAATGTCAATTCACTGTTCTTTTACCAATTCATACTTCCATCTGCATTAATTACCTTGTTGCTATCATCTACAAAACAGTTCCCCTCCTCAGAGCTGTGAGCTGATATGCAAGCTTGTGTTAAAGGTTAAAACAGTGACACACTTGGATGATCATCCCTAGAGTGAGTGTCACTTCTCATGTGGTTGAGTGCAAACTTCAGTGATTGGCACTAGATTCCCAACACACAGATCACCGAACTGTTAGAAATTTTGGCCCACAGGTTTCCAATACTAAGCTCATTCAGCATTTCTGTGCCTCAGTATCCACACACCCAATATATAAAACCTCATTCAAAGCCTCCATTTAGCTCTTATGGTTGTTTCAGAGCAGATCGATCTAGAATTTCCACATTATTCAACTCAAACAGAGGTTAATATACGTTAATCTTTATAGAACAGTAGTTAAGTTATTTGAACCTTTACGAGACTCAACTACATGGCAAAGGAAGATACCAAACTACAGGGCTGTAGAAACAACCTGCACATACACCAGTGTTGCAAACAAGAGCAGACTGAAACATAAGCCTACTTGGCCAAGTAATGAGTTTAAAGTAATTTATACTAGGCATGGTGACATGCACTGAGTAGTTAGAACATGCAGTATAATGAAAGATCATCAATTCCGATTGGAATCTGCCTTTGGCACAGAAAACCCAATCATTTGAATTCTTAACGAAAGTGCAAATGAAGTGC